TTCTGACTTTATAACACACGATTGAGTTTATATCTCGCAATTCTGACTTTATAACACGTGATTGAGTTTATATCCCGCAATTCTGACTTTATAACACGTGATTGAGTTTATATCTCGCAATTCTGACTTTATAACACGTGATTGAGTTTATATCCCGCAATTCTGACTTTATAACACGCGATTGAGTTTATATCTCGCAATTCTGACTTTACACGTGATTGAGACATTATATCATGCAATTCTGACTTTATAACATGCGGCAGTTTATATCTCGCAATTCTGACTTTATAACACACGATTGAGTTTATATCCCGCAATTCTGACTTTATAACACGCGATTGAGTTTATATCATGCAATTCTGACTTTATAACACGCGATTGAGTTTATATCCCGCAATTCTGACTTTATAAAACGCGATTGAGTTTATATCTCGCAATTCTGACTTTATAACACGTGATTGAGACATTATATCATGCAATTCTGACTTTATAACATGCGGCAGTTTATATCTCGCAATTCTGACTTTATAACACGTGATTGAGTTTATATCCCGCAATTCTGACTTTAAAACACATATATCTCGCAATTCTGACTTTATAACACGTGATTGAGACGTTATATCTCGCAATTCTGACTTTATAACATGCGACAATTTATATCTCACAATTCTGACTTTATAACACGCGATTGAGACGTTATATCATGCAATTCTGACTTTATAACACGCGATTGAGACGTTATATCTCGCAATTCTGACTTTATAACACGTGATTGAGACGTTATATCTCGCAATTCTGACTTTATAACATGTGACAATTTATATCTCACAATTCTGACTTTATAACACGCGATTGAGACGTTATATCATGCAATTCTGACTTTATAACACGCGTTTGAGACGTTATATCTCGCAATTCTGACTTTATAACACGTGATTGAGTTTATATCTCCCAATTCTGACTTTATAACATACAATTGCGATTTATATCACGTAATTCTGACTTTATATCTCGAAATTCTGAGAAATAATTTCAGAATTGCGAGATGTAAACTCGCAATTGTGAGATAAAAGTCACAATTATCCTTTAAAATGTTTTATACTGCGGCGGAAATAAGTTTGCAGATTCGGAGGTCCCAATTCATGTGTGAAAATGATTCTTCATGCTTCCTCCCAACCATTCTTTCACAATTTGAGCCTGATGAATCTTGACATTGTCATCCGGAAATATGGTCATGATGTGTCTTCCTACATGGTTGTTTAAGAAATGAAAAGCGACACACTCCATCAATTAGGGGTAGAAGAACTTTTGTCACACATACTGTATAACATGCTCGAAACATAATGACTGCAATAATGATCCAAACACAGACTCTTAAGCATTTTTGGCTGGGCAGTGTATAATACATGTGTGTATGTATTAGAGAATGAATGGGAAGCTATAGAGCCCACAAAGAACCGAGTATGCCGTGATGCCCGATGCATACACCAAAATGACCATAACATACTCTTTCATTCCAGTTAACAAGGGCTCTTATTGTCAAAGCCATCTAGGCCTTATACACTGTGTGTGTGTGTGTGTGTGTGTGTGTGAGAGAGAGAGAGAGAGAGAGAGAGAGTATGTTTGCAAGTGTTGCTGGACTTTTCACCTAATTAACTCGTTTAGCCATTCTGGTAATTTCAACAGAGGATAAAATGTGTTTTTGAGAAGTTGGGCAAATTACTGTCAGATTAAATCTTTTTAATGTCCCCTATCAGTCTGAGCTTACACAAAAGAACAGCAAAGCTTTTATTAAACCCTTCCTCCTCAAGCTGACGGCTCAGTTTCTGCGTGGCACCCTCTGTGCATTATTGTGTGGTTGTCATGGAACTACATGATTAAAGTCTCCACAAGGACTTGGACTTTAAGCCTTGTTAATAAGACTTTTGATCTGTCAGTCTAGGTAATTAACTAGCAACTGCAAATATATTTTAAGGCTATAGTATTGGGATTCCCTGCCCATAATATGAACAATTTGCTTTAAATTGTAATAACTACATTTAATCATCTGGCAGATGTTTTTTTTTTTTTTTTTTTTTTTTTCCTGGTTCTGATGTAAATGATTATTTAAAGATATACATTTAATTTTTTATTGAATATTGGCAATATATGTCCAAATGGCCATACACACTCTACTTACGCCTAAAGTGCAACTTGCACGATTTCTTATGTCATGGCCCCTTTAATAAACGTTTGATTTGAATTGTAAAATAAAGGCAGCTTGGGGTAAAAGTCCCTAAAGAACCTATAGTGAAAGAGTTGGTAGATATAGAGGTGATAGTGATATGGCCACAAAATGTGTCATCGTATGCTATTGATTTAGCATTTTTATGTAATTGTTTGTTAATTTATTTTCATTTTAATTCTTAAATATGTACAACAACAAAAAACATGTCAGCAAATAATGTAGCAGTTTTTTTATTTACTCACTTTACTCACACACAAAATCTTCAAGCTTTTTGTTCAAGATTTTGTCTCAAAAATGTATGTTATAATTTCAGCGATTCTCGTAAGCTTAAACGATAGAATTTTTAAATTACCTTTTTAAAAAAACCTTCAAACATTGCATATGATGACTCGTGGATCAGGACAATGTTACTGCACATAACAACAAACAGGTGTTTAGGTCTGTCGTGTCTTCTGTTGCTATTTATTGTTTTGAGAGAGAAAAAAAATGTTAATTTTACCCCGCTGAGCCTTTAGACCCATTATACCTGACTACGTGGCAGTTGTGAGATCAGACAAATGGATTCTCAAAGACAGAGCGGATCTTATAATGAAGAATTTCGGAAAGGCTGAAATATTTCACTGTCTGTAAGCAGTTCCACATGTGCAATGGCTGGGCATTTATAGAGACCTCTAAATCTCAGTACAGATAGACGACAGGCCCGAGCTCTTTGGGCAAACCGTCAGAGAGCAAAAGGGCCAAGATGGAGGCAGAGCCCGATGTCAATCAAATACAGTAGGTTATAGAGTTTTAGCTTTTATGCAGGGTCATACTGTCTTTACATATTAATGTCAACCAGAATAGAACGTTTCTGATGCACTGATGTAATAAACCAGTCATCGAGACTACGGTGATCTTAAAGAGAAAGTTCTTTAAGAGATAATTCTGTCATCATTTACTCACTCTTATGTCATTCCAAACCAATTTTGGACCCCATTGACTTCAACTGGATACACATAAACAGTTGAAGCATTCTTCAGAAAATCACAGTCTGTGTTCCAAAGAAAAAAGAAATCCATTCAGCTTTGGAACAACCGGGAACTTGGAACTTAAAGAGAAAGTTCACTCAAAAATTATAATTCTGTTTTCTCAGCTTTATGTTGTTCCAATCCAATTTTGGACCCCATTGACTTCCACTGAAGAAAGAAACCCATAGAGGTTTGAAACAACATGAGGGTGAGTAAATGCTTCATGTTTGGGTGGGCTGTCCCTTTAAGACAAAGCAGAGCTTCTGTCAATCAGAGCATTATATTCATTAGCCAAGGAAATAAGGTTTTGTAACTTTTCAGATCATTCCTACAACCCTGTCTTCAGTACATACTCAACAGCAGCAGGTTGTTTTGGCAGCTTGAAAAAAAAACCCAGCACATCTGCGCATCATTTACTTCTTCCTTAATCGTATGCCGTCATTGCACGTTTGTCCGTTCTGTGGTTTCTTCCCCTGTGGCTTCACATATTCCTTTCGCTTTTACTGCTACTGTTCATGAAGCTGGATTTATTAGTGCTGCCGGCATCAGGCAGGTATAACAAAGGCAAAAAGTGCATGTGTCCGACGTCTCCGAGAGCACAGCACCATATATGGACAACCTCCATATTCAACAACACCTGGCTTTCATGATGCTTCGTATCATTCCAATTATTGCTTTATGGCACTAATACATACTCTGTAAATTATATTCGCATGTATCTCACTGGATGTCATGCAAGGGTGTTATTGAGAAATGAGAGAAGTTCTGTCAAACTGTGAGGTGCTGCAGGATGTGTGGTTTAAAAACAAGTTGTTTATGGGAGAAGGTGCAAATCCACTCAGGTCCCATCACTGTGCAGAATTTATGGGAATCTCAAGCCCCAGGCTGTCTTCAAAGCCAGTGCCATGGTAAAAGCTAAAGCGCTAACTGACAACAGATGTGTGCGTGAGAGAGAAAATAGTGGTTTTCTGTATCTTCTCCAAAGTCTTGATTCATAAAATGTAGATAGATTTTTTTGTGTTTTGTGTAACTTGGAACTTCAGATAAGACTTTAAATGTATAGGCTATGTAAAATGGCACCGATCCATCAAATAAAAGTAGTCCTATGTGTTTATGAAGGTCTGGTAGGGAGTTGAAATTGTGGGCATGTGTTATAGGTCCTGGTAAAGTTTCACTGCTGTGGGTTCCTCACAGGCCAGAGTGTAACGGCTGATCACTTCCAGAGCATCAGGGTTTAAGCCGACAGTCAAGGTCTGTTAAAAGTGCAGAAAGACTTGAATCTGATGATTAAAGATGGCGTGAAAGGGTTAAACTTCTTGTTTTCTTCTAACTCTTGAAGGATTTATGTTGATCTTCATGTCTAGGCTGGATATGATAAGAATTATTCCATATTTTATATACGTTTTTGAACTTTCTATTTATCAAGAATCCTTGAGTTGATAAGAAATGTTTCTTAAGCAGCAAATCATGATTTCTGAAGGATCATGTGACAATGAAAACTGGAATAATGATGCTGAAAATTAAGATTTGCCATCTCAGAAATAAATTAAATGTGAAAATATATTCAAATGGAAAACAGTTATTTGTAGTATTATTTCACAATATGACCTGTTTTACTTCAGCCTTGGTAACATAAGAGACTTCTTTCAAAAACATTGAAAAAATCTTACCAACCCTAAACTTTCGAATGGAAGTGAGGTCTAATTTGTGAATGTGTTTTATATTTCTTTGAGGTTTGACTTTCTCACATTGTCTATCTCTGTCAGATTTTTGGTGAGCCGGAGCCGGTCCGGATGATATCTGAGGGTTCAGACTGCCGCTGTAAGTGTGTGATGCGGCCACTGAGTATTGAGGCGTGCACGAGGCTCCGAGACGGAAGCTTGCGAGTGGATGATTTTTACACTGTGGAGACGGTGAGCTCAGGCTCGGACTGTAAATGTTCTTGCACGGCTCCTCCATCCTCACTCAACCCCTGTGAGAATGAATGGAGAACAGAAAAACTCAGGAAACAAGCTCCTGAACTACTCAAGGTAAAAAAAAAAAAAGGTCTCAGGTCTCAGGACTGTAACCTATGTTCCCTGAGAACAGGGAACGAGACAATACGTCGAAAGACGCAATGAGGCGTTCCCCATTGCGTCATTCGACGTATTGTTGAGTTCCCTTCGAAAGGGAACGATTTTGATATATGACTTGATTTTTCATTCTAATCTAAACAAACAAACAAAAAAGTGAAGTTGCACTATAGCTACCAAACTAAAGTAGGCTACATATGGGGATTTGCAGCAGCCATATCACCCTGTAGCCCAAGACTGGTTGCCCATTAAAGCTAAGCAGGGTTGAGTCTGGTTAGTACCTGGATGGGAGACCTTCTGAGAAAACCAGGTTGCTGCTGGTAGAGGTGTTAGTGAGGCCAGCAGGGGGTGCTCACCCTGTGGTCTGTGTGGGTCCTAACGCCCCAGTAAAGTGATGGGGACACTATGCTGTCAAAAGAGCACCGTCCTTCGGATGAGACGTTAAACCGAGGTCTTGACTCTCTGTGGTCATAAAAAATCCCAGGATGTCTTTCGAAAGAGTAGGGGTGTAACCCCGGCATCCTGGCCAAATTTGCCCAGTAGCCTCTGTCCATCATGGCCTCCTAATCATCCCCATATACACCAATTGGCTTCATCACTGTCTCCTCTCCACCAGTAAGCTGGTGTGTGGTGAGCGTTCTGGCGCAATATGGCTGCCGTCGCATCATCCAGGTGGATGCTGCACATTGGTGGTGGTTGAGGAGATCCCCCCCTTCTATGTGAAGCGCTTTGAGTGTCCAGAAAAGCGCTATATAAATGTAACGAATTATTATTATTATTATTATTGTTTGGATCGTTTGAATTTAAATTAATCAGTTATGAACCAAAAAGTAATGTTTTAAAGTAAACACTTTTTATTTAGACACATTTTACTAACAGCATAGCAAAAAAAAAAAAAAGGCAAAAAATTTAAATAAAAGAGACTTTCCTGACTTTCCCAAGGTTGGTCATCAACTTTTTATGAAGGTTTACTTCTTTTCATTCCCCATTTTTTTTTTCCCCATGCCTGACTTTTTTAAGATTTTGAGGCCATAATTTTTTTATTATTTTTTTTTATTTTTATAAATGCTCATTTTTGAAGATGTAAACCTTACTTTGATTTTGTTTTTAAAATATTCAGTCCTTAATTAAGCTTCTTTTTCTTTTTTTTAAATTTAAAGGCCTTAATTTTGCATTTTTAAAGATGTTTAGGCCTTATTTTGGTATTTTAAAAGATATTCAGACATTAATCTGCCATTTTTAAGGTGTTTAGGCCTTAATTTGGTATTTTATAAAACTGTTCAGCCCTTAATTTGACATTGTTTTAGATATTTAGGCCTGAATTTGTACCATATTCATCAAGAGGTGCCAAACACAAAATAACCTCTCTACTGGGAGTCAAAATTATTGTGTTAACGGAAAGCATGGCACAGATGCTGTTGGTTACAACAGAAAAAAAAAATATTGGCCCCTCAAAAAAAAAAAAAAAAAAAAAAAATCCAACAAAAAACACATTGACAGAATTAGTTTGTTTTTCCTAACTGAAAGTCCAAATGATTTTTCTGTGGTAATCAGCAGCATGATGGAGATGCTGTCCACAATGCTCAAAAGAGCAGTGTCCAAGAGCCATGCCGACAAGGTTTCATTCATGTCGAATATTATTTTGGCTTAAACATTATTTATTATCCTGTTTGTGTTTAGCTCCATTCCATGGTGGATCTGCTGGAAGGAACGTTGTACAGTATGGATCTAATGAAGGTCCATGCCTACATGAACAAAGTTGTGTCTCAGATGAACACATTAGAAGAGGTAACCATCAGATTGTATGTGAAAGCTTTAAGCTTCAAGGAAATTTCCAGAAGTATGACACTGTTTTGATGATCTCTTCATAGACCATAAAGACAAACCTTACCAGGGAAAATGACTTTGTGAGAGACAGTGTAGTGAATCTGTCTAATCAGCTAAAGCGCTACGAGAACTACTCTGACATCATGGTGAGCATCAAGAAAGAAATCTCCAGCCTGGGACTGCAGCTGTTGCAGAAAGATGCAGCCTCTGACAGCAAAGCACAGGTAACACATGTTGGCCTATCATACAATGTGGCGCTAGGCGTGACGCAAGTGTTTTTTTGCTAGTTTCAGCCCGACACAGTTATCATTTTCACGTCCTGCGCCACGTTGTTTAAATAGCAAATGCATTTGCTGGTCTGAAAACGAGGTGTGTTCAGGTGCATTGTTGGCGCGTTGCTGTTCTGAGGCAACTGAAATAGACTGCGCCATGTTTTATTTTTTTGTTATTTATAGAGTTCGTTAGTAATATGTGCCAATAGGTGGGTCCAGAATACGCGTACACTTTGTCCCATAGATGGTGTGCTTGTGTGCTTTAACCTTGCGCATTAGCATATCCCAGCATATCCATATAGCAAACTGACATTGAATCAACGTAGAAACATGACATCGAAACAACGTTGATCTGACATTGTTTTGCTCATCGAATTAACGTTGAACCAACGTCAGACGCGTCATTCTTTCAAAACTAACGGAAAATCAACTTGAAATCAATGTTGTTTCAACGTTATGAAAGCAAACCAATTTTCGATTTTCATTTAGCTTTGAAGAATGCCGCGTCCGACGTTGGTTCAACGTTAATTCGATGAGCAAAATCAACGTTGTTTCGATGTCATGAGAGACGTCATTTCCACGTTGATTCAATGTCAGTTTGCTGTCTGGGATCCGTTTCCTCGCTAGAGAAGAGTTCAGTTTTTCCACTTGCAAATTCCGCCATGTAAATAGCAAATACGCCATTGCGCGAGCACTACTGGCTTTTAAAGGGAATGGGAGTTGAGAATCTGATTGGTTTATTGTAGCCTACATTACAATTAAAACACACCCATTATTCAATTAAGAGAATAGTGACAACCCTTTTAGACCATGCGCCAGGTGTGCCGACCATTTTTCGTACCTTAAGTGCACTTGCGCTGTGTGCTTTAGACCATGCACTTAGATAAATCTTGCCCCCGCGGTTTCTCCAACACAATAGCACACACGCACAATCACGCACAAAGATCAGCCTTGTAATTCAAAACTTTATGATTCCAGGGCACAGAAAGTAAAAAGTCCAAGGAGGTCATAAAACCACCCAACAAGAAACCCCCAGCTGTCAAACCTCCACCCAAACAGCCTAAAGAGAAACCTGTCAAGCCCAAGAAAGAGGCTCCTGCCAAAGCATCAAAACTTGCAAAGCCAGACCCCACCTCCAAAACCAAGACCTTAGTCCACCAGACGGGAGTCATCAGAGGGATCACATACTACAAATCGTCCAGGACAGAGGACTCAGAATCACATTCAGCAGGGAGAGGAGAGAGAGGTATGGAGACCATGCACATCACATCTGTGTTCAATTAATGTGTCCTGAAAGCCACCTCGGTATAGATCTACCAGAGCCCAACGCAACTGGCTTTACTGTGGGTGATAAAATGGGTAAAACGCATCGTAGAAACATGAGGATGGGATGTTTTGATTGGACCAACAAGCAACCTATTTTTTTTCCCCCATATATACTGCTTGGCTGAGTTTTAGGATAGTTGTTTGCACCTGTACCTTTTTGCACATAAAACATTACAAGCAGAAAGTTGAGAGAAACATTTTATTGTTTATATTCCACAAACGTCTCGTAAGACTGGATCTCTGACATATTCGCTGTAAAAATTCCTCCAAAAACCCTTTCCACTTATGTTGTATTCCTTGTTAAAACACCGTCGTAATTGTGAACACCAGAATAGCATATGGTTAGGAAAAGGGGTTTCCTTTTCATGAATCTGGACATGAAATCTACAGAATAGTGTTTTTTATTAGTTTTGCTCTCATTTTAAAGGGTTAGTTCACCCAAAAATGAAATGTCTGCTATCGTTTACTCTTCTGCTGAACACCTAAGAAGATATTTTAAAGAATGTCTGTAACCAAAGAGTTGATGGACCCCATTGACTCCCATAGGGTCCATCAACTGTTTGATTACTCATGTCTTCTTATGTGTTCAGCAGAAGAAAGAAACTCATACAGGTTTGGAACAACTTTTGGGTGAACTATCTCTTTAAATCCATCTCTTGAGAGGCGGCAACAAACTTATTTTATTGAAACGCTGGTGTGTATTTCTTTATTTCATCAGCAGTATCACCACTAACTTTCCTCTGGGATGAAATCATTTACATTGCTGTCTAAACATGACATGAAGGGAAGTGAAAATAATAAAAAAGTGTATTGAGGTGTCCTAAACTATTACAGTAATGGCCCTGTGTCCTTGAATGACAGATGGCAGTGATGGTGTGTGTATTCATATCTGATGTACTCTCTCCTGCGCTCATGTCCATATGTTTAATGTTCCAGACAGTCCCACAGTGCAGGAAGAGAAAGCTCAGCTTAGGGTGTCTCCACTGACATTGTCTTACGGAGATCTGTTGTACATGGCATGAGATGAAATGGATTCAGTGTAGGAATGTCGAATCCAAGCATTGCAGGCAGAGATGGGTTACAATGCAGGAAGTTTCTTCGAGTCCAACATCTCATTAATAATTCTTTTGATGTGAAGAATCTGAAATGCTTGGGGTAAAACTTTAGGCCAAGAGTTGTAATGTTCCTTTCAAACCCTCCCTGTCTTTCTCTTACTGCTCTTTTCAGAAAACCCAGCCAAAACCCACACTGGCCACCAAACCGAGGACAAAAGGGGCTCCGAGCTAGTCTTGGAAGCCTCTGAAATAACATCGACTGTACAGCCAATAACAACCACCACTACGCTTGTTGCTGTGACAACAACAAGCACCACACTAGCAACCACCAGGGAAGTGCCAATCATGAATTCAACCCTGTCAACACCAGCTCCAGAGAAACCAATGGGCAGTGGAGGAAAGACACATTTGCACAAAGCAGGTATTTATTTCGCCTGACAATACAGACAAAACACACATACATACAGTGTATATATATTGTGGCTGGAAAAAAAAAAGGACCAGACTCGATGTGTGGTTAAATAACACCCAGAGTGACAAAAGATTGGAATGAGTGCAAGTGCTCCAAGAGAAAGGAAAGCTGGGGCTTTAATGCAGAAGTGAAAGTGTGACAACTTGCTGGTGAATTGCAACCTGGGTTCCTTCACGATCACTGGAGTCTACAGGAGAAAAGAACCAGAGAAAGCATTAGTCTTGACTTGGGAGATCTCGTCTCCCCTAAGCTTCTTTCTGTTGTGCTTATATCCCCTTTTCCTGGCTCTCAGGTGGCTCTCATTCCCTGACTCTGCCTCCTGGCAACTGGATCCACGCCATTTCCATGACAATACTGACGAGTGCTCAGGGTGCTTGCCACCAGTGTTGTGTACTCGAGACTCAGACTCGAGACCATATTTTAATGACTCATGTGCATTTTGACACAGAATTGACTTGTACTCGAACATATTGACATTCCTCCACTGCCCAACATATTAGGACTTTGACTTATTCCCGTGTCCACTCGAGTCCCATTCAAAGTATGTCATGATTATTACTGTATGTTAATATTTCTTTAAATTGTTGTTTGATTGAAACGTCCAATGATTGCTGACTTTCTTGTGCACAACTGCGCATTACTTGAGACTACAACATTCGCGGCACGCAAATGCCGCAGGACCCAGGTCAGATTTGATGTGGAAATTATGTATCAAAAATGTCTGCCTTATCATCCATAATTCGGTTTGCATATAAGAGGCACAGAATTCGCGTGTAGTAATGTTATGTGAAAGAGCACTTATTGATTGTAATAATTGTAAGTCATAATTATAATAAAATTAGCTTGGCCTTGTTACCATTACAGTGTACATGATTCCATGGTATATTTGGTTTACTGTTTGAGTATGGTACCAATTTTATTGTTAGTTGTTACCACCAAATATTTTACATATTCTTGAAGATATCTTTTAAGTCTGGTTTGAGACCCAACCTTAGGTTATCCAACCTCTCTGGTCTCGTCTCGGACTTGACTCTGTTTGGGGTCGGTTTTGACTCGGACTCGAGTGAGCTGGTCTCGACTACAACACTTGCTTGCCACAATATAGATATATACTGTATACATACCAATCACACACTCATTGGATTTTCATTGGATATGTGTAAAATGGAACATTATGTATTATTATTTGAATAGGTAAATCTCTAGACTGTGAGGGCACCCTTGCTTCAGTGGAGATTCCAGAGAAGCATCACAGTTATGGACGGAATGAAGGAGCCTGGATGAAAGACCCAGTGGCCAAAGACAACAAGATCTATGTAACGAACTACTACTACGGCAATAACCTGGTGGAGTTCCGCAACCTAGAGAACTTTAAACAAGGTAAAAAGTCAAAAACAAAGAAAGGTAAATTCATGAATCAACTGTGCACATTTTCCATGGTACTATACAGCAATAGTTTCGTTTGCTAATTATGTGCAATAAAATAGCCGCCGGCCGCAGCATCACGAGGTGATATCACCTCTCGCGATGTAACGAATTGCATTACGGCAAGAAAGATCTGCTAAAATGGGCATCAAACAGGAATAACCTGGTGCCGTATACATGTGGTGTTCGAGGCATAGACATAATAAATACATAGACACCCTATTGGCCGCTTTGGAACGTTGCTGCGATACGTCAACGCGTCCGCAATTTTGCGGAGGGCAAGACAGTGCTGTGTGAACAAACAAGTAAACGGGTGAGCTGCAGTTTTCCTGGATAAAAACAATAATAACGTTTACATTCATCAACCGATTTCAGTGGTTTGTACGTGGTGTGTACTACGTACGTTACTATTACTAATTATAATGTTCATGTCTTGTTTGTGAAAGATAATTCCTCGAAACCTGTTTTTAGTTGTGTGGTGACTTGTACAGCCCCAAGCAGCACACCAAACAGGCATTTTTTCTCAAATCTCGTAATGAGAGGTATGGGAACGTTGCCCTCCGCAATATGGCGGCGCCGTTGATGTATGCTCCAGCTGCCAATAGGGCGTCATCTCTGCGTGAATGCTATTTACGACAGTACAAGTACTCCACAGCGACTCTAGGGGTCACAGTTTGACAAAAACGAAAATCCTGCATTGTGCTGCTTTAAATCATACTTTTTTTTTATCATGGCAGCAGTAATTTAATGAAATAATGATTCAATCATGGAGAAGAGTGCTAAAACCAGACATATAACAAGACCATGGCATTTTTGAGAGCCAATTCTGGACAGTATTGCAGTGTTGGGAGTCCTCAAAAATCTGGCCTGCTACATGGAGAATCGCACTATGAAAAATGGCATTCAGCGAAAACTTTAGTTCTGATTTGTATAATTTCTCGAGAATTGGGTGTTAAAACAATGCAGGCAGTAAATTCCCCGATGATGATTCGAGTTAAACGCTGATGAGAATATTCATGATGGCCTTTATTGTGTAACTATACACAATAAAGGCCATCATGAATCATTTGGGATATTCAATGAATCATTGGCCATCATGAATCATTGGGGATATTCAAATTAAATGACCCATCGTACCATTGATCAGCTCTACCAATCTTGATTGTCTTTTTTCATGAATAGACAAACACTGTGATGTTGTCTTGATTGATACTGTGAAGCAGCTTTGATACAATCTGTATTGTGAAAAGTGCTATATAAATATATTTGACTTGACTTGACTTGACTTAACTAAAAACCAATTGTATCATATTCAATAGGTCGCTGGAGTAACCTCTACAAGCTTCCCTACAACTGGATAGGAACTGGTCATGTGGTCTACAACGGTGCCTTCTATTATAACAGAGCCTTCACCAAAAACATCATCAAATATGACTTGCGCATGCGCTACGTGGCAGCTTGGACTCAGCTTCATGATGCGGTCTACGAGGACACCACTCCCTGGAAATGGCGAGGCCATTCAGACATCGATTTCGCCGTAGACGAGAGTGGCCTCTGGGTGATCTACCCGGCGCTGGATTACGACTACTCGCAACACGAAGTCATCGTCATCAGCAAGCTGGACCCAAGCGACCTCTCCATGAAGAAGGAGACGACATGGAGGACTGGGCTGAAGCGCAACTCGTACGGAAACTGCTTCATCGTGTGTGGCGTGCTGTACGCCATTGACGTCTACAACCAGAAAGAGGGCGAGATTTTGTACGCCTACGATACGCACACGAACACGGAGGCCGCTCCACGTTTGCCCTTCACAAATGAGTACGCCTTTGTGACCCAAGTGGACTACAATCCCAAAGATAAAGTGCTGTATGCATGGGACAATGGCCATCAGCTGACCTACAATGTTCACTTTGTTGGCCAATGAAGTTCTGGGTCCAAAACCCTACATGGTGGGCATCTTTGTAATTGGGCCTGGTGACTAGGGAAATACACCATTTATAGGAGAACAATGTTTTCTTTATTGGTATTATGATCGAGATGAGGTATTAAAGTGAGTCGACGTTATTTGGAAATATATTGGGAATAATTCTTCAACTTAAGAGTTTAAGGACTTGCATGTGTAGTTCATTATCAGTCCCCAAAACCTTTACCACTGTAAATAAGGGTACAGTTAAGGATACTGAACAATTATAAAGTGTAACCTGAATGGTTTTACACAGCTTTATGCCATAATGTTTATTGTTACATTCAAGATTTGTGAAATGTGTTGTAATATCCTTTAACTGTCTAATATAATTTAAAGGAATAGTTCACTTCAAAATGAAAATGTCATTTACTCACTCTCAAGTTGTTTCAAACCTGTATGAATTTCTTTCTTCTGCCGAACACATAATAAGATATTTTGAAGAATGTCAGTAACCTAACAGCTGATGGAGAACATTGAATTTCATAGTTTTTTTTCCTACCATGGAAGTCACCTTCAAAATATCTTTTGTGTTTAGCATAAGAAAGAAATTCATACAGGTTTGAAACAACTTGAGGGTGAGTAAATGGTGACAGAATTTTCATTTTAAAGTGCACTATTCCTTCAAATTTTGGGGGGTGGGATGTTAAATGTTATGTAAATTTTATTATTTTAGCTATTAATTTTGTAAAATATTAAATTCTCATTGTAAATATGTTCAAGAATACGTTGTGGTACAATATTCATATTATAAACCTCAGATTTATCCTCCCAGATATTTAAGATTGTAGTCACTCAACATAAGTGGTTACTTATGATTACTCCTGGATGAGTTACAATGTTTTGTATGTTGCATAAAATTTCACATTTTGTGTAAAATAGTTCAAATAAACTGTCTAAAATCAGTTGCTTTGTTTGTATTTGATAACACACAATGTGATGTTTGTTATGCATTTTGCACTTCACCATGTAGTATGTAATACAGTATGCAACCATGATTCAAATACAATAAATCATTGTCACTTGCACTACAATTCCCCATCTCCACATGTCTGACATTTTAAAAATGTTGCAACATATAATTGAAAACATAGTGGGGAATAACTTTAGGTCAGAGTGTACAGTAAGATATTTAGATTTATGGATATTTTTGTTCCTTTTAGCCCTGTGAAAAAGCAGTAGGCTACACTTTAGCAGAACTTATTATGAAAATAATATTTAAGCACAAACTGAATGATTTTTGACACTCAATTGCATGTTATCGTCGAGTAAATTAAAATGTGTTATAAAAAGGAGAGAAAAATGGTCACAATAGATTAAGTAATCTATAAAGTTTTAAGAAAATAAATTATTATCATTGACAAAAATATTTATAGTATATATGTGGTATCCATAAATAATGTTGAGCAAGAATTCCATAGGAAATGAATACAGGCCAAATTTGACCCCCTTTGTGCATTCTTGGAAACTTTTTGGAAAAAATATGAAAATTATCTTGGTGAGGGTCAGAAACATGTATTTTTTTTTTTTTTCAATAATTCATGGAACATCAAATAAATCTTTTCAATGAAAAAATAATAATAATAAAAAAAAAACTCAGCATGCCGGGTCCCAGACCTCCCAAACACAAAAATTAACCTCATGAAAACAAGTATTTATACTGTTTTTACCTCAGGTAACCACAGCCACGTCCAAGTGATCTGGGGGCGTGGACGCTTTGGTCTGCGTAAGCGCCGGAAGTGATATCTCGCGCATGTACATCACTCATTAGAGATTTCGGAAGCGTTACCTTTCACTGTGAAGATCTAAACATACAGGAAATCATAATGGAAGACGATTTCGATATATAACAGACAACGTTTAATTTTTTTCGCAACACCGCGAGAGATCACTTCCGGCGCTTTCCGATGCGTCCGCGGCCTCAGATCACTTGGATGTGGCTGTGGTTACATGAGGTAAAAATGATATAAATACTGTTCGTTTTCTCACACAAACCGCTCGTTTCGTGTCTTAGGCCATCAATGTGTCCTTACATTTACGAGTCATTAAATCATGTTTAATTTGGACTTCTCTGTGCATGCTCTTTGAGGTGGACCCCATAGACCTCCATTATATGACTGACAGACAAGAACGGTTTGACCTAAAAATATCAAAATTGAAAATACTGTGGAAACAAAGACACCTACATCTTGGATGCCCTTGAGGTAAGCTAAAACATATCAAAAATTAATTTCAAAGTGAACTATCCCTCTAAGATTTGAAGTACACTATTCAAACGCGCACTTTTTTCACTAGCGTGAATGCTATGAGTTAAAGTAAAAATTCTATAAAATTGTAAAATTATAATTCCCTCATCATTTACTCACCTTCATATTATTCCCAATTTCTCTATCTCATTAACCTAAAAGATGCTATTTTGAGACACGTCTATCCACAATGAAAATAGATGGGGTCCAGGGTTGTTTTGGACCCCATTGACTTTCAATCTATGGACAAAAACAGTCAAAGCCACACAGAACACCCTAGTAACCATATAGTAACATGCTCAAAACCATTAATAACAATCAGAAAATCAGTGGGTGTTTATACATAAATGGCATGCATATTTCTTGTCTTCCAGGTCTGAGGTCACATACATTCTGTCTGAGCAGGAAAGAGGAAACCCAGATATAAAATCCAGAAGTGTTTTCATGAGGTCATTGTTGCGTTTGGGAGGTCTGGGTGTGGTGATGATTGACTGACATGACACGAACACGGTGTGTGTGCTTAGATGAACTCAGGAGAGGTATAGAATTGTTGGTAGAACAGGGTGGAGGTTCTTCTTTAATGTAAGGAGTTCTTCGCATCTGAATTAACCCACAAGACACTTCCCCGTGAGCCAAAATCTTGCACAGCAGAATTTCAAGCCAACATCAGTACTCCATCAATGATGGACAAATAAACCGCTTTTATCTGTTAGCTCGAACGCTCAGCAGGATAAGAATTTTGTTTTATGTGAAAACTACACTTGGAGACTTGCATCTCTTTGTTAATATGGGCATCAATACTTATAAGACCTCAAAGCTGCAGGTTGTCATATTTGGTGCAGGATGTCATTAATCTGATTAAACTGAGAAGACAAATGAGCCGTGGCGGGTTAGTGTTGTGCAGCTCCAGCGTCCCAGACCCCCTAAAGGTCCTCTTGGCTTTCCTAAGTCGCTTTGTGTATCTGAGAGTCTGCTCACCCTTTCCAATACACACCCTAATCCAAATCGCTGTGTTGGGACCTCGAGTCATCTCTTCCTTAAAAACATTAAATAAACAAATTTTGAAGCCACTGAACACTTATTCCCAGATGTGCAAGAACTAAATGTCAAGATGATCAATAAATGATTGAATTTTGTACAGGGGATTCCCATTCCTGCCCAGCAGAGGCTTTGACCTTCACTACAGGGCAGGCATAACTGGATTTTGTAGAGTTTAATGAAGCTCATTGAGGTTGTTTTGCACAGCAGTCCTTAATTCAGTGCTCTTAAAATGCAGTTAAGGCGTACCGAAAACAAAATCCGAAGGCTGACCGCAAAAGGATTGAAACTCATTATGACAATAACACTGCTAGAAGCCCCCAGAAGTCCTTCACTTACGCAAGACACTGAGCAAGAAAGCCTTGATTTATCAACTGCATTTGCAAATGTCTGGCTTCGACTCAAATCATATTTCATGCATTACATTACTGAGAACTTGTTTTAAACAGCGACTTGATTCCTCTATGGAAACCCATCAAAACAAGAAAATGTGTGAAGTTTGCAACAAACTGTAGTTAATTAAAAGCCTTGTTGGGGAGCAACTGAATTTGAACTATATTTCTCAGTAGCTTCCAGGACCGGTGATCAGAAAACCTTTGCCTAACTATGTTTCTGTTCCTCTATGTACTGTAGCATTTTGAAAAAATACAAATCATTCTAGTGAATTGATTCATCCTAAATTGTGTCTTTCTCTCATGTAACATTGAAAAATCTGAATCGATCTAGTCTACTCATCCTAAACTATTCTCTCTCAGGGAATTGGATGATCAATCTTTCAGAATCGGTCTGTCCTAAACGATTCTTTCTCTCATTTGAAGAGCTTGAAATCCAAATCCTGCTAGTGAATCGAGACACCCTAAACTATTATTTCTGTTCTATGTTGCATTGGAAACTCTGAATCATTGATTCGTTATTAATTATGGTTCTTTATGTAGCCTAGCCCTGGAAAACCAAATCATAGTGAATCGATTCAACCTAAACAATTTACATGTAGCGCTGGAAAACCAAATCATAGTGAGTCGATTCATATATAATTCTTGAGTCGGAAAATCATAATAATTCTAGTGAGTTGATTGAATCGTAAAAATATATATATTTTTTTTCTGTCTCCAGGTATTAGAAAATCATAATCATTCTTGTGAATCACTTCGTCCTAAACAGTCCTCTCTTTCATTCGTATGGCTGCATTCGAAATCATATACTTCCCTATACAGAAGATGAAAAACAATATGTGACAAGAGTAGTCCGAATTCGAACTCGAGTAGGCAAAAAGTCCCCAGATGACCTATTACTTTCAGCGAGACTTTGATTTATGGATATGATGAACACTTTACTGTCCATTGAGGCCACTGGAGAGGAGTTGCAAATGGCAGTGAAGCGACGCAACAGACACTGGTAGGTCATGTGACGGTGACAGCATGGCGAATGTAGTACTTCCAGATTACATACATATGGTGCGTTCTATTATTCATCCGTCTTGGAGATCCGAATCGGACGACAGACGTTGCCTAGCAACACACCCCCTTTCCTCGGATTTCTCCTCTCGGACGTCGGACAACCGTGAGGACACCGAGCAAGAATTCCGTTTCGGAATTCAAGATGGCTGCGCCCTGTGACTTGTAAGAATGAATTGTTTTCATTGTTTTTAAACCGCTTTGGTATTTTCCAAAAACCGACTCGTATTACTGCGTCCCCTGTATGGGAATCGGTTGTTGTGAGTGCAATTACTAACGTTGCTAGCGTTGCTAACAGAAGATTAACATGAAAAACTTTAAATAAAGTGAACATTTTCAAGTTCAAATGGCTGCGTTTTGATAAGGTGTAGTCATAATATTTTTATTTTAATGTAAGTGCCTGGTACTCGGCCAGTGCTACCATTACAACAGCTTTCTCCGACTCGGACAAGCAAAACATAATAGAACGCTTGAAATGTGGACGTGACGTCAAATCCGAGGTCCGAGTCGGTTCGTTGGGTATAATAGAACGCACCAATATTACAGACATTTATACTATGCGAAACATTTTTTTAGAGATCACAATTGCTTATTCAATATAGTAGAGAGTATACAATTTTGGACACGCTTTTGGATTTTGGAGTATACTGTGTGATTCTTTCTCATGTGAAGCATTAGGTGTGTTTGACTTGAAGCTGCGCTGCACAAACCGATGTATGACATCCAAGTACAAAGAGAGCAAATCAAAAGCATACAGAGCCGTCTGCTCTCTAATCGCTCTCGCAGCTTTGGTGTCATACTTTTGATGTCATTGATCTGGGCAGTGCCACTTCAGTCATACACACCAATTGGAAAGGCTAATTCGTTAGTGAACCGGTTCATTTAGACAATTCACATAAATTAAGATTACAAGAAAATTATTAAAGGAGTAGTTCACTTTTCAAAAAACTTTTGCTGATAATTTACTCACCCCCATGTCATCCACGATGTCCATGTCATTCTTTCTTCAGTCGAAAAGAAATTAAGGCTTTTAATGAAAACATTCCAGGATTTTTCTCCATATAAAGCACTTCAGTGGGAACCAAATGGTTCAAGGTCCAAAAGACAGATTCAGTGGAAACTGCAAACTGTTGAAAGGGCTTTAAACGAAAGGGCTTCCAGACGATGAATAAGGGTCTTATCAAGCGAAACGATAGCTCATTTTTAAAAAAATAAAAATAAAAATTTAAGTTTTATAAGCTCAAATGG